AAAAAAAAAAAAAAAAAAAAAAAAAAACGAGAACAGCTAACCGTCTTCACCCAAAAATAATGCACCGACGTTGTATATGAATATAACGCCCCCTCGTTTATAACGCCCGGTTCAGTAAATTGGTGCGAACTTCAGTGGGGGCTCAAAATTCAAAAAAAAAAAATAATAAAATAAAAAAAAGTTAAAACTTAAAAACAATGTTGTCTAGAATCGCAATGCAACCAACTCTTGGCTGAGGGTCACTTCCTTATAAATTCGGAAAATAAAAATAGCCCAAGCGGGATAGCTACGTCAGTTCGTTGAGCACATAAGTGGCACTCAGGAGGTCGCGGGTTCGATAGCCAACGTTGTCCTTTCGATCCCCATGGGCCTCCTGCGGTTATGCTTTGGGTTCACCAGCGGAGACTGTTGGCTTGGGCCTTCTGGCTGGTTGTGGAAGTAATCAGTTCTTTTCCAGCTCGCGCCGGGTGTTACGAGCCTGGGTACTGCTCCCCCGCACAGCGCGGAGAGATAGATAGGCGCAGACCCATAACCTTAGAATCGCTTACGTCTGCTCAGTGAATTTAAAGCTTCGTCTCCTTTTCCGTAGGCAGTGTCAGTTGCTTGCGGGTAAGGTATATAGATACGAGTAGCTAGAGGAAGGCGACAGAGTAGAAAATAGGGTAGGTAGAAAATACAAACGTCCCCCATATGAGGAGCAGACAGCTGTATTTTTCTTCCAAAGAGAAAAGAAAAAAATATATCAAGCCAAAACATGCCCTTTGGAAGTCAAAACCCTTTTCAACCCCCTTGAAAACCCATGTATATCCCCTTTCCCCACCTTGAAAATCCATGTATACTCCCTCTACAAGGCACTCTGCCCATGGCACATTCAAATGTAACGCCCGGGCGTTCTATTCGAACACAATGCCGAGGCCTTGTATTCGAAAGGGCATTCTATTCCCAAAAAAGTGAGTAAAAAAAAAATCTGATTTTTGGGGGGTAAGTTGAATATAATGCCCCGGCGATATTTTCAGGTGAAGACGGTAGGCCCGGGGGCCCGGGCAAATCTTATTTTTTGCCCGAGTCACCTCTAGGGGCTGGGTGTCCGAGGGTACCGTAGGACGGCAATACCGATTATTTAGGACCTGTGCTATTTTGGTTGGCTGCTGGCTTGTTTTAGTACACAGGACTTTCAGGAAACTGACATTGGTCAGCGTATTGAGAGCCACCATTGCACGAGACCAGCTGTACGATGGGCAGGGGATTATTGTGGAGTTTTTGCCCCATTGTACTGGAATCGACCGACAAAAGGTCACACAATTTGCTGCCAGAATCAAACGTTGTAAGCCTCCTGAAGTTTATAAAGGGAAGGGTCTTCGATATCGAAATGAAATTATACTCAAGAAACAAGGCAAAAAAAAAAAAACCATGTCGTATTTCGAATCGAATAAATCGGAAAAAAGCGCTAGAGTTCTGGAGAATCTCGTGTCACTCTGTCTTCTTTCTCTCTAGTCTCTCTGCTTGTTAATGCTGGTCAAGCCTCGCTCTCTAGTCTATGGTTGGTTGTTCAACTGATCTTTTGGTTGATGTCAACCTAATTGTGTGGTCAGGTACAGGTACTCATGTTTCGCTGTCTGGGAAAAAAGAAGTTGGCCATCATCTTGTGTCGATTGTTTTTCGCATCAATTTCCCAGGGCAAAAATGTTAGAGCCTCGCTCACCCCACTACTCACTACATGCACAAATTACAAAACATATGGTAGTGTATCTTCACGACTTCGAACCGAAGCTCAATTCTCTGATTTTCCTGGAGTGTAGCTCTCTGGGTATTGACAAGAGCCATGGAAAATGAAGTATGTATGCCCGGCAGTCAGGATAAGAGCCCATGTCCGACGGGGGTTCCGCTCGTGTGGTGGCTCGAATCTTATTCCTGGGGAACGGCACATGGCGGTAACTGGGCCCAGTGTTTCTGGTACCATTGTGCGACAACCTATGGCAGTAACTGGGCCCAGTGTTTCTGGTACCATTGTGGGACAACC